TGAAGATAATTCATAAATATTTATATTTATTCAGTAATACAATATATAAATTAATTTTTATTTTAATTAAACATGAACATATATTAAAGACATACTTTTTAATGAGAAAATTAGAAAAATAAAGTTTTTAAAGTATTGATACATTTTGACTGTTCGTTGAGATTTGACGAGATACATTATTTAAAAATTAATTTGTATATAGTAGAACTGTAGGACCCATTTCAGTAGGTTGATAGACATTAGGACGTGCTTTAAATCGTTTCGTTGCTATATCAATTTCATATGTAGCTCCACGAATATAATTGACTGTGATCTTTTCTGAAGAAGGTGCATGAACAAATCCTAAGCAGACCTATAAAAAAAAAATATATATATATAAATGACACATTATTTTTTCATATTCTATACTTGTTTTCCAAGTGTAAAGCCAAATGCGGCAGAAGTAACAAATCCACAAAATTCACCATTACGATAAATAGGTTCACCGCTCCAAGGCCTACAAAATAAAATTATATAATCATATCATTTACATAGTATATCAATAACCATGGATCTGTATCAAGCTTATGATCTTCAAGAAGAAATTGAACAAATCGTTTTTGTATACCATCTTGTTTTTGTTTTAATAAAGCTTCTTTACCAATAAAATTTTTCTAAAATTATATTTATATGTAGAATAACAAAGTTGACTTAATTAAATTTTATTTTTACATCATATGATATATGATATTCTCGATTTAAATGATATGGTGTTGTTTTCTTATCAATATCGTGTCCCCAAGATGGGTACATACGTTCAATTCGAAGAGTTCGTTGAGCAAAGTATCTAAATTAATATGTATAAATAAGAATTTATCAAAATTATCAATATTACCCAGCATTGATGATTCCATAATCTTTACCTTGTTCCATTAACATATCGTACACACATAAAGCATACTAAAAAAGAAAAATAATCAACAACAAATACAAAAATATATTTTACTTCTGATGGAATATAAAGCATAAAACCATCTTCACCAGTATGTGTTAATCGCATTGCATATATGTGACTAACAAAACCAACATCAATTTCCTAAAATGATTGAATGATAAAAAAATAATCAAACTTAACATTTGACTTACTTGACAAGTCATTCTTGCAAAATCATTAAAATTTTCATCACTTAATTCAGATAGTAAATATTTAGCTTTTGGTCCAATTACATTCAATGCTGTATAAAGTGAAGTTACATCCGAAAGAAAAATAGAATTATCTTCTCGTACATGTGTTTTAAGCCATTTCATATTGCGAGTTGATTGTGATGTTGGACTCACCAAAAGAAAACTAATAAGAGAACAAAAATCTTATATTTATATAGAAAAAAACATCGTATCCTACTGATATTCTCCCAGACGTATAACAGAACAATCATTTTCATAACCACCTTGTTCATTTAACATTCCTGTGTGAACAACAGTACCAATTGGCTTATCAATATTATTTGCACAAAGCATTTGAAGAAAATCCACAACACTTCGATTTGCTGATTTTAATTCATATTTTGTAAATGATGTCATATCAATAACAGCTACACCTTTTCGACATGCATTATATTCTTTTTTAACTGTATTAAACCATCGTGCTTTACCGAATGTACCTTGTTTACTTAAATCTTCAAAATCTTCTATATTACAAAAAAAGGAAATTCAAAAAAAAGCATTTTCTTTTAGTTTCAAAATACTTTTTCCTGCTTCGTCTGGTTTAAAAAATAGTGGACGTTCGTAACCAAGTACTTCGCCATAAGCAGCACCAGCTCCTTGTAATTTTGGATGTAATGCTGAAACACGTAATTTTCGTCCTGTTCGATATAATGACATACCATAAGTTGGATACTTCAATGAATATTGTTTTCCTATTATAAATTAACATAATAAAAACAAGGAAATATCTAAAGTTTTACCTGGTATTTCTCGTAAACGATCTTGAAGAAATCGTTTATTGGTATGTAAACGCATAAAACGTCGTATATCAACAGGCCATGTACTTAAATTTGTATTTCCATTATGTATTAATTCAGCTATATATTTTCCAACACCACCAGCAAGTGCTATACCATGTCCATTAGAACCAGATGCAACGAAATAATTATCAATCTAAAGATTTCGTTATTTTATAAAATATTTCTATTCATTGAATAAATAACTAACTTCAGCTGATTCATTCATTATTAATCGACCATCCGGTGTAAAACTATCAGCACCAGTAATTAATGTTTCACATTCACTTTCAGCTAGAATAGGAAATCGTTTGATAGTATTACTTAATATCCAATCTAGAAAATAAGTATAAATATATGATGAATAAAAAAGATGATAACCTACGAAAATCATCCCAATTATCGGGTAGAAGCGAAAAATGAAATGTATCTGGAACGCCATTTGAAAAAATAGGTTTTGATTGTCGCAGAAAACCACCAATTAATACACTATGATCAGCTAATGGTTGAATATAAAAGCGTTCTTCAGGATTATGAACTGTTGGAATAGTTGTTGGAAAATTTGCTATTGGTTTCGTTTTTAAACATATATATTCTATATAATAATTTTATTAGATAATTTTTCAAAATAAAATTTAATTTATAACTTTACCACATGCTTGAGTAGGAATTCGTACACTTGGTGAAGTTTGAAATCCAAGTTCTCGTGCCCACTTAAAATATAAAGAAATAGTTAATTATTTTCATATAGAAAAACAAATATACAGACCATTCCTGTACAATTAATAAATACATCACATTTAATATGGCCTTGTGATGTTACAGCACCAGTTACACGATCCGATTGTCCAGTACGTTGTTTTTCTGTAAGAATTTCTTCTACATAACAGTCTTCAATAATTTTAACTCCTATAAATAAATAACCAATAAGCTTATCAAGAAAAAACTCCTTTTCTGTTATTACCTTTAGCTATTGCTAATTGAGCAAATGTTAAAGCTAATGGTACAGGATCAACCATAAAATCATTCGGTAACCAAAGACCACCCTTTAGATACATATCATTAAATAGAATATATATATATTATAGAAATTTATTTTATACCCAAACTTCATGTGGATCAATAATTGGTACTTTTTCTCTTAATTTTTCATGAGTTAATATTTCACAATCGATTCCTAATGCTTTTGTCGTAGAATATTGACGTTTAAGTGTATGAAGACGATCAGATGTTTGAGCTACCCATAAACTTCCTTTCTCAATAAAACCTATCGAATATAAATCATAATATATAATAAAAACATTTACAAAAATTTTAAATATTACCAATATCATGTCCTTCTTTATGTAATCGTTCATATAATTCTCGTGAATATTTAGTAAAATGTGTTTCAACAAGTGTTTTTTGTAACTGAGTTACTTGACCAGAACCTTGCCATGTTGAACCCGATGCTAATCTATTTCAATTCAAATAGATTCAATGAAATATAAAATATTTTTATTACTTTGCTTTTTCGATAAGTACAATATTTTGAACATTTAATTCACTTAAATGATATGCAACTGATTGGCCAATAATTCCACCACCAGCAATAAGTATATTGCATGATGATGGAAGTTTGTCAGTTAATTTTAATACTGGAGTTGGATGAATATGATGTGGTACAGTGGGAGATTCATGTTGATCATATGAAACTGAACGATGAGGAATGAAGGACAACCGGGAATAAGAATTGATCTTCAAAAAATATTGGCCATAGAAAATAAATTTATGTTGCAGCATGTAAGCCTGCAAACATCTGAACAAATGATCTAAATATAAAAAAAAATTGATTATATTAAATTCTCTGAAAACTACATTTTAGTGTATGGTTACAGGGGAAAACGGTAGAGATTTAGAAATAATCTATCAGGGTTTATAATATAAAAAATATTATGACTAGATGATAATTAATGTTCAGTATTTTTGATTGCTTGTTTTGTCTTTGAATTTGATTTTTTATTCTTTGCAAATGTTCGATTTGAACCATTATATTTTTGTAAATTTGACATAATATAAATTGGATACAACATAGGTACAGTAAGAAAAAGACCTAATGCAATTAATTTTTCCTAGAGTTATGAATAAAAGAATAGTAAAAGATACAATTGATTTATTTTCTTACTGCTTTTGTTATTTTATTCATGGGTGGACCAGTGATATAAAGTGCACTTTCTTGACGACGAGGTATCATCATCAATGCTTGACGTCGAACAACTTGTGTTAAAAGACTAGACATTTCGAAAAATCTAAAATAACTGCTCAAATTTTGATAGAAGATCAATTAATAATATTCTTATCGATACTATGTCTCTTGAATGGAAAGATTACAATGTAATTCTATATTTTAATGCGTAAAACAACTAACGTTTTGAAATGTCTAAAGGATTAATGAGTAAAAAAAATGCATCATCTGACTCTATACAAAAATATAAGTAAAAAATAATATCATATTCTATAACAATAGTATTTACGCATCATTGCAGAACAGATATTCTTATATATGATTTTTCCTATTCCGAAGTTTTATATTTTAAAGCTTTAATTAAATATTTTATTCAATATTGATCATCATAATTATAGTATAGAGTACTTGATACATGTTCTAGCAATGTTTACAGAGTTTATTTGTATTACAACAATAGCAGAATTAACTAGTTACAAATAACGGATATATTAGTAAACAATATCATAATGGTATTGATTGGATAAAAAATAATTGATTTTATTTTAATCGAGACTTTTAATTCAAGTTCAATAAATAAATTATTTATTTTATTAGATATATATTTAATTTACGACTACTAGCGCTATTCTTTTCATTGGTTACTTAAAATAACTTCAACCGTGATAATAATATGACGAGGAATATGCATAAATGACATAAATATATTTCAGATTCTTACTCAAGAACATATGGATGAAGAATTAAATGTATTAAAATCCATTTATTTGGATGATTTAATTATAAATTATGATAATCCAATTTCTTTAAATATAATAATCGATTCTAATGGAGATGAAAATGATTTAGATCGTGAGAAACGTTTATTATGTATAACATTTATTGCTGAACTTCCATCAACATATCCAGATTTAAATTCACCTAAAATAACTCTTTGTCGTCCTCGTGGTTTAACAGATGAACAAATCAATGAATTAAATTCTTTAATATATTCTTGTCTTGAATCAAATATTGGTTCTTGTGTACTTTATGAATGTATTGAATCCATACGTTCGAAATTATCTTTTTATGAACTTCCTCAGGAAGCTTGTGCTATATGTTTAACATTAATAAGTAATCGAAATGATATAATAAAAACGAATTGTCATCATTTTTATCATAAAAATTGTCTTAAATCATATGTTGATATGAAAAAAATTGAATTAGAAGAAAATTATCAAGAATTAAAAAAAAATGGATTTTATATTGAACGTGATTTTCGTAATGATATTGAAGATCCTGTATGTCGACAAATAATTGCAAATAATGTTATTGAACAATTACCATCATCATCACCATCATCATCAATTGAACAAAATTCTAATGAAGAACATCGAGAATTAATTAAAAGTCTTTCACCACATATAAAACAATGGCAAGAAAGAACACACGCACTTTTTCAGCAACAAAAAGAAAAAGGAGGAATTATTGATCTTGATAAAAGTCAAGATATGATATTTAGTTAAATAATTTATTTTTTATGTTATTTATTTTGTTTTCTTTTTGGTTTTGAAATTTTTCAGATTAAAACTATTTTATATGAAATAAAAGTTATTATATAATTTTCTTTTTATACTTTGTAAATAGAAATTGAAAAGAAGAATATTAGAATTAAACGAGGGATGGACCATATCCCGCAACCGAGAGAAACTGTTCAGTTTCAAAGAGAAATCCTTTATCCTCACAAAGTCAACGACATATCATTTTCCGATCGAAGTCGAAACGTTGATCCATATCTCCGCTTATAGGGAGATATAGAGATATTGACCATTTTATTTTTTCACTCTAAGAGGATATTCTAGCAGAGATTGTTTTTTTACCAGCAGCAATGAATTACTTATAATACGAAATGATTCATACATATCTCTACTCATATAGAGAAATGAAACAAACAAAAAGAGATATCAATCATTTTTATTTTTTCACTCTTAGAGGATATTCTAACAGAGATTGTTTTTTTTACCAGCGGCAAAGAAATAATTAGTGTGTGAAATGATTCATTCATATCTTCACTCATAATGAGAAATGGAACTTGAAAAAATGGATTTGTCTGTAAATGAACTTCCAAAAATAATTTCATAGCGACTCCTGTATTTTATTTTAATTAAACATTTAAAGATGTATGTCATTCGTGAGAGTGCTACTATAATTAGAATGTGTTATTCTTGATATCAAACTGTATAAATTAAAATTAACAAAGGTTATACGTGAAATGAAGATTATCTAGGTAAATACATGATTTATGGTTCGTACAAGTTATCTATATGTATTTTCTATTTAGATAATGTTTGATCATCAAATACTATGGATATGTCGGAAACATTCAATTAATAAACTAAAATGAATTTTTTAAATAAAAAAAATGACAAAATTGTTTCGTTGTTTTCTTTAGATATTTTTTTTAACAACCCCTAATGAGTTAGTTGTATTGCGTTTGATTCATTTTTCTCCATAACTGCATATTTTCTGTATTCAAATTTTACTTTATTTATTTACTTTTTTAAGAGAGAATATCCCAAAGACTACTCAAAGTATATCCTTGTGGTAATTTTTCAATAGCCAATCCAAGTTCATCTGAATAAACAGGGTCCCGATCACGTTTACCTGCATCAGTTAAATATGTCTAAAAAGATGAATAATTCAAAAATAAAACATTCGGAAATAAACTTTCGTATTTACTGCATATGAATCTGTATGTTCTCGACTTTGTAAGATTTCGATATCATCTACTTTACTTTCTAAACGTGTTGCTGGTTGATCAGATTGTTGATCTTCTATTGAAAATTCTACACCAAATTCTGGATTTGCAAAATAACTAAATAATTATAATGTTTAATTTTTATTTCTAAGTTTATTTTTTCTAAATACCTCTTATGAAGTGTAGTAATTTCTTTATGCACTTCTCGTAGTTTTTCTTCCGGTGCGATTTGAAAACCAAGTAAATAATTTCCACTCTAATGAAAACAAAACTTTGTTTATTTCTTGACAAAAATAAAACATTCTAGTCGATATATTTACATATGGTGTTGTTTCAACAACAAGTGCTAAACCAAATTTTGAATCACGAATTTTAATAGTTTTCGTTTGATAATATGGTACACTAACATTAAAATTTTCATTTAATTCGGCATGCCAGATAAGACGAACATCTGTTATATGGAAAATACCTAGATTACCCTTGAAATTAAGAAAAAAGAAAAAAGGTTTAAATTTTTGAAAAGTAAGAAAATAGTCGTAAGAAAAATACTTGATCAGATGAAAGATTCCAAACTCCATTATATCGATTATGTAAACGTTCTTTAGGTAAAAGACGTAATTGACCTTTATTAAGTAATGATGATCGCAGACGAATTTCACGATAAAGACGTGTAGAATCATATGCTTTATGAACAGCAACAACCGAATTAAGCATTGCACTTGAACCAGCAACAAGATTAGTGAAAATAAATTCATAACGTGATGAACCTGATTTTGTTAGAAGATATAACGATTCAGTACTACCACGAAGTTTCTATTAGAATAAAACGAAAAAGGAAATAATAAAAAGAAAAATTTTGAGATTAGTTTTACAGATTTAGCATTTCGAACAGTAATTGTAACAATGCAATAAAGACCAATAGCTTAAAAAGAATAGAATATGAAATTTGTTTGATAATTATTTAATTACATACAAAGATTGATACGTGCTGATGCATGACTATGCCAGATAAGACGAATATTAGTAATAGTCAGCTTCCCTATAAGAGTAATAATTCAAATTAGCCAGAGATTTTAAGTGGTGATCATCCGATAACTTACCCTTGTCACCATTATTTCCTTTTGTATCTTCAACTGAACTAAGTGTGTCAATAATAAATTCACCTGATCGACATTTTATATCACTAACAAAAAGAAGAGGATATTATTCATTGTCAGTAAATATAAGTAAAACAAATACTTCGGATGAACATCAAATCGAATTTCTCGATCATGCCATACAGCCATATTTGCTTCTTGCGCTGCAGCTGCCATTAAATTTCTTTTTGTCTATTCAATAAAAATGCTAATCTTTTTTCATTTACATGTCAATCAGCCATTATGTTGAATGAATTGAAAGAGGTTTCTTCTCTCCTATAGTTCTCTTTTTCTTTTCGTATTTTACAGATGTCACTTTATTCTTATTCTTCATCATCATTAAAATCGAGTGAATCAAGTAATTCTTATCGTTTGTTATCAACATCTTCATTAACAACTGTTTCGAGTCAAATTAGTAATAATGGAACAGTAAGTTTTATACTCAAAAACATTTTCTTAGAAAAACTAAAAACCATTTTTTAGAGACGAAATTCAACAACTGATGATGAACAGTGGCCGACTCCACCAGAAGATGAAAATCAAACTTGGCAAATTGAAAAAAGTGTAAATATAAAAAATGAACAATTAAATAGAAATGGATGTGTAATTAAAGCAATAATGACTAACGAACGAATTGTTCTTTATGATTCATCATCAACTCAATCAACAATAATTCCAGGCAAACATATTTCAATGAAAGTAGTATTTAATGTATAATTGTTTTTTTTGTCGAATGTTATATTCTCATATATGAAAGTGTGATAAATGTTTGATTTTGTTATTTGATTTGAACTGTAATAAATATGATAATTTCATTTTATTTCTTATTAATGAAAGGAATCTAAACTGAGAAAGATTTACATTGGTCAAGATATGATTGTCATTTTCTTATCTTCATAAAAACACACATGTATGTAAGTAAATATATATAAAGAAAGATATTATATATATTCTATTACTAACAATGGTGATCCTTGGATACTTCTATACCAGTTTATTTTTTCTTTTGACTTTACAACAATGGTCAAATGCTTTACCTATATTCGAAACAAAAACACATTTTACTGAAATGACATCATGTGAATTATGCAATTTTCTATTACCTATTGCAAAAGATCTTATTGCCGTTGATGAATCTTCATGGATTGAAAAAATAGGTGTAACATTATGTGAATATTTACATCTTGCTGATGATGCAGTATGTGTTGGCATGATCAATGAATATAATCATGTACTTATTGAAATTCTTCGTTATAGTCCTTTATCAACAAAAGAAGTTTGTGGATTAGCTTTCGGATGTATACGACAAGCTGATATTCCTGCTCTTAAATGGAATGTTACTATCCCTCCACCATCCAAACAAATAATTTCTTCTTCATATTTGTCTAACGTTCATTTACCTACTAAACAAACTCTTACAGTTCTTCATCTTGCTGATTTACATATTGATGAACATTATCAACCTGGTTCAAATGCTAATTGTGGTCGACCACTTTGTTGTCGTGATGGCACACCAAAAGAAGGTGAAATAGGAGCAGGATTTTGGGGTGATTATCGTACATGTGATCTACCACAATGGACAGCCAAAAATATATTGAAATATATTGTTCAAAATGAAGAACAAATTGATTTTATTTATTTTACTGGTGATATTGCTCCACATGATGTATGGCAACAAACTCAAGATAAAGATCTCGAAGAGATTTCTTATACTACTCGTTTATTAAAAGAAACATTTCCTAATAAAAAAATTTATCCATGTGTTGGTAATCATGAATCTGCTCCGCCTGATCTTTTTTCAACCTATAATATGTCTTGGCTTTATCCAATCTTAGCTAATCAATGGATTAGTCAATTTGGTTTGAGTGAACAAACAAGAGATACTATTCTTAAAGGAGGTTATTATACTACCAAAGTTACATCGAATATTCGTTTGATTTCATTGAATATGAATTACTGTTCAGAGAATAATTACTGGCTTTTTATTAATTCAACAGATCCTCTTGGTCAATTGCAATGGGTAATTTCCAGATAGCTCGTCTTTTTTTTAAATTTATTTCAAACATTTTGCTTTTTAGTTAATTCAATGGCTTCAATATGCCGAACAACATCAAGAAAAAGTTCATATTATCGGTCATCATCCACCTCGAATGTGTATGGTATCATTTAGTTGGGCTTACTATAGTATTATTAATCGCTATCAAAATACAATAACTGGTCAATTTTTTGCTCATACTCATCATGATGAGTTCATGCTTTTCTATGATGAAAAAGATTTTCAAAAGCCAGTAAGTTTTGAATGAATATCGTTTTAAACGAAAGTAAATTCTCTTATTTACAAAAAGGTATCTGTTGCTTACATTTCACCTTCATTTACAACTTATCCAAATCTAAATCCAGGTTACCGTGTATATACAATTGATGTAATTTGCTAATATTTTCTAAGTATATTTTTAAATATTTATTATAATTTCATAGGCTGAAAATACAACATTCGTATTAGATCATCGAACAGTTATTCTTAATTTAACAGCCACCAATCTTTACAATACAACAACATTTATAAATGAATATTCAGCAAAATCAGCATATGGTATGAAAGATCTTTCGCCACAAGAATGGAATCAATTGATATTACGATTAGAAAATGATATAGACGGTGAAACAATGGGATTGGTGTATCAATTCTTCATGAAATCATCTGTTGCAGGCAATAGCTGTGATCGAACATGTCGAATGAAGTTGATTAATTGTAATTTAAAAACAGCCAGAGCGCAGGATACAACTTTTTGTTCAGAATTTTTATAAGATTTTTTAAAAATCATGATATTTTTCAAACTATAAAGTCGATTACACATTGAAATCACTTTCTAACTTTTGTACATACAGATCTCACTACTCATTTTTTTGATACTCCAGTGGCAGATATTCACCGTTGATATGTCGCAAATTTAGAGCGACCACGGATACAATTTTTTCTTATCGATCTATATAATGACTTCTGCATGTTTTCGATCTAATAACAAGGAAATCAACCTGGTTTCCAGCATATCACATCGTAACTACTAGTTTTCAATACAAATAGTAACACTTGATTGATATTATAAAACAAAATTGTAAATGATTTTTCTTTCAAGTTTACTGTTAAATGAATTATTAGATCAATAAAAAAAACATAAAAATAAAACAAATATTTTATCACCTCAATATAGATCTGAACATTTAATTTGTTTGATTTTGTAATTCATTTTCTGTCCACTTTTTAATCCATTCATACATATTTCGAAATTCATCCTAAACAAAAAAAAGAGAAAGAAACATAATAAAAAATATTCAATAAATTCTTACTTCTGTTCGAAATGCCGAACACATAAAAGCAATTTTTCTTGCTTGATGATATATATCAATTGAATGATCAGTATTGAATTGTTCCATTAAATTCGCTAGAAGACATATAATAGCACCTTCTCGAATATCACTAAAATGAAAGTTTTATTTTATATATATTATTATCAGACGAAAGTTGATAAATTTGTTTACTTCAACCATATTAAAATTGGTACATCATCATTTTGATCAAGATTTACAAGAATTTGAGAAACTCGATATAATAAAATATTTCGAATAGAATTAATTGGTTGATAAAATAACGTCGTAGACTATAGAGATAGATCAAAAAAACAATAAATTCTAGGAAATATTTTATTTAACAAACTTCATCATTATGATAACGTCGAAAATCATCAGAAATATCATTATTATCAATTTTTAATCGTTGTTTTTCAATAAAACCAATATCCTATCATTGAAGATAAATATTTTTTTTGTTGATTAATATCTATTCAAATTTAACTTACTAAATGACTACTATGTTGAAATAGAAAACAATGTCGAATTTGAAATTGTGAAATTATTTTTATTGTAGTACTACTATCATGACCAACTGTTAACATAAATGGTTTTGAATGTATATAACTCTTTTTATATTTAAATAATAGAAGAGATTATATAGAAACTAAGATAAACTTACATCAATAAAATAAAGAACATGATGATCAACAATCGCGAATCGATTAGAATATTCTGTACCTGGAATAGAAGTATATGAATAGTTTCATTGTGTCTAAATTTTTGTTTTTTGTTTTACGTACTCAGTGGAAGAATAGCATTAAGTTCTTTCAAACTATTACATGTGAATGCCTAAAAATAGAAAATATATCATATAGATACATTCTGAACAGATAGATAGTTATTAATGAATTATTCAGAATAAGGCTTATCGTCACAGATCAAAAACTCAGACTTTATATCTTGTCCGGTTAAACAGGTATCGTGATCTTATTCTAGATCATACTATGGAAAAAAATTTCTATCATATAAGATCTTTTATAATCATATGACACTATTTTTTACGAATATCATCATACAGTATTAGATAAGATTTATGATCACGAAAATTTTGATAGCAAAGGCCAATTCGATTTCTCTCTAATAACTAAGCCTCAAGAACTGTTCTTTGTAATAATCTGTGAGAAGATAAGATTATATTCAGTTAGTTTCTGATTAATATTTTTTAACAAAGATAACTTTCAATTCGATCGAAAATTTTTATACATTGGTTCTATATAATCTGATAAGATCTTTGTAGTATTATTTACAATAATAACTTACTTCAAATAACTCCACTATTGAATCATGAAAATATGTTCCAAATTTAGTTTGAAGAATCCTGGTAATTTGATGATTTATTCCTTGTAATGTCATTATATCCGATGAATAAATCCATGCTGACAGATGAAGTACTACTGTATAGACAACAATTAACAGATCCTAAACATATTCAGATTAGTTTAATGACTTCATTCATTCAATCTTTTTTCTCTTTCTTACTTTATTCATAATACTCATTGGTAATTGTGTATTAAGTTCAGTAATTGTTTTAAGTATATTAATAAAACTATATCTCATTGATAAACGTCGATTTATATCAATAGTCATATACGCAACTGCTGGTATATTAACACCACTAAAATAGGAGCAAACTCAGTAAATATGAAATTTATATTTTATTTCATACCAACTATGTATAGCAATACTATTTGGAGTATTATCAAGAAGTCTTTCATTTCGTTCTTTATCATTAATATAATATTGAAGACGTAAAAGTGCAACAGGATCTAATGCAAATTTTATTTCTGTCCAATTTTTTACTTGAAAATGTTCAATAGTACGAGTTTCTGTTTCACCAAGCTAAATTAAATATATATGTATATATTAGTATTTACAATATTCGCATTACTTATTACTTTCTGTATTTTAAATTGTAATGTTTCTATATCTAATCGTTTAAAATGTCGAATAAAATCAATTTGATAAGTATTCTCAATTGTAATCGTTGGATTATTTTCATCAGGCCAATATTGAATTAAAGAATTCTATTCAAAAAGAAAATTTTGAATTAATATAAATCAAAATAGCATTATATACATTCTCATGTATTTCATAAAGCATAACGATAGATGATATACGATGAAGCCATATTGTATTCCAAAATGCGGATATATTTATTTGTTGAACAGCTTAAATAGGAAAATAAATATTTTTCTCAGATATTTAATAGATATTACCATCAATTAATAAATAACGAGCATCGATTTGATTATTACCAATACAATTAATTTCAATAGTGTATGTTTGAAGATGACTCATAACAGTAACCGAAGATAATTCTGATTGTGTTTCTATAAGAATATTCAATAATAAATTTTACTTGATTCTCATTTTCATATGTATTCATCCATGAAGAAATGATTATTCTACAATCTTAAGGAAGTCCTGTACAATGTTTACTGCTTGACAAACTATTCGAGAAACTGAAATTAAAACCCCCCTTTGAAGCATAAACTAAATGATCATGAGTTCGAAGATGTTCCACTGACTGCTATGAGAAAATCAGGCAATGACTATTAACAGGCACCTTATGTGTAATCTGTCGTCTAATATTTAGAAGAAGAGTATACTCATACTAAAAGTTTAATGCATGTAGAGCACCAAAATTATATACCTAAAGTTTTTTTATTTGTACGATGATATGCCTCTACTTGTTGTTGTAAACCATGATAATTATTAGCTACTAAATCTTGAATATGTTCTCGAATTCTTTGTGTTAATATAATAAGTGTATTGCTTAGTAATGTTGGACGTATTCGTCTATAAATTGCTTCCTGGTTTGTATAATGATCTGCATCATACGATTTATTCCAATTGACTCTAATATATTAATTAAAAATCATGAATATTTATCGAGACTAAGATAAACTTACGATGGTCTTGTAGGACCACACCATGATGCAATTAAATTATGACATCGTGATCCACGAGGTAACTCATTTTTTTCTAGATGTTTTTTATATCTTATCTAATAAGAATGAAATTAAATGAAATTAAAAAATTAGTTTTTCTTAATTTACATCATCTCTGGTTGTTTCGCCATTCATTGTTAATCTACAATGATAACACCAGAATGGAATAAGTGTAAACATAAAACAAAAACCAACAAAACCATTAAAGAAGCTTGGAATATTATATGCAAAGAAAAGACCGATCTCATTTTTATAGATGTCCCATCGAAGATAAGCAGCTACACCACAACCAACAAATGCAATAAAACAAAGTGCTGAGATCGAAAGAATGAAATTACAAAAATAACGATAATTTAATAAACCAACACAGTTGTTAACTAAAATAGACGAATTTTGATTAGTTAAAGTTTTCATATTATTTAAAAATATCAAATCTAAATATTCTTTGATATGCTTACTATACTTCTCTTAAAGTATGGATTATATTAAACGATGAATCAAAGAAAGTATAAAACTAAATTGGTTTATTTGAAACATCATTCTCTAGATAACAGCAGCTTTTTTGAATGTTTCAGAAATATTTCGGGCCTTCTTTAGTAATGATGAGATTAATATCAAACGATAGATCTTCAGAATCTAAAGTTAATTGAATCTATGTGCAAAACTTAAGTTTTTCCAGAGTAAATCCTTAACAAATTCGACATGATAGAACCCACTGTTGTGTCCTACTTTATTTTAACAAGAAACTCATTAGAGAAAAACACTTTTTTATATCGTTTTTCTTAGTCAGAAGTCACACACAATGTGTCATCTGTTCTACCGCAGTTACTATTTAATCATTAAAACAATTGTGAGAGAAAATTTTAATTTTCTTTGCTATTCCATGATTTCCTTCTCTTGATTATTGCTGCTTGCTTTTCTTCAAACTTGTGATCAGTCAGTCTGTGCTTCGAACGATTTATTGATTGTTGACTCGAACTAGGTTTTAGATTCTCAAATAGCTAATCAACGAAAAAAGATCTTACAAGACTCCGATGGCTTCCATATACTATCTATAACATATCAAAGAACAAGAAATTAACATGAGAGATCCTTTACAAGACCATCAGAAATAATTGATTGTGTGGTGATACAAAGAAGAGAGTGATGAATAGTTGCTAGACGATAATGATAAACTCTACAATTATAATGATTGAGAAAAGTCTTTAAACCAAGGATCTGTTCATTGATAGTATAGAGGAAGAATCTATATATAAAATTCAGTTTTAATCTTACTCCATGGACAATGATGATCGAAATTTTGAACACAAACATTACAAGTCGAACAATGTGAAGCACGTGGTAAACGATAAGTTCGACATGTATAACAATAAGTAGATGAATAAGGAAAATTCTTTACAAGTACTGTTGTTGGTGGCGGTACAGATGGAAAATAATTTCCATTTCTAAAAATAATCAAACAAAAAACATAATTTTTCTTAATTCGTCTTGAAAAAATAACAGAATATGATGAATCTTACAAATCAGTCTGAATATTTTGTTCTTTTTCTATTTGAAGTATTTCATCTGCATTTGGCCGTGGTAAAACACCAGGATCATGTAATGCTGCGAATAAATAATTTAATATTGTGTAGAAAAGTGCAATACCAAATAAAATTGGAAAATAAAAATGATGATTTTTAACAAGTATCGGAAAACTAATATGAAAAATTAATGATATCTTCATTATAGAATTAATACAAAACTTACTCCCAACCAATATGTAATCCGGACAATATTAGAATAAGAGTAAGAACACCAACGACTGTACCCCAAGATTTATATGTCCAACATGTACGAAAATATGAAACAGTGTTACTTGGATAGATCTAATGCATGTATGTTATCAAAAATATTTTTTTATTAGAATAGAATGAGACATACTTGTCCTCGGCGCATGTACATGACGATCGATTGATATAAAAAATCAAGATCTTGTTGAATTTTAAATTAATCTGTAACAAATGATTAATACTTATTTTAAGTATATTTCTCTTCCGATGAATTGTTATTCAGTTGAACAGTAACATAGCGTTGGTAAGCAGTATAAGAGGCAATAAAGACATGTTTTAGTTTTCTTCATGTCATTTCTACCTACTTCACTTATTCATAATGGCACATAGCAGGAAAGAAAGTTTTTTTTACAGATGATTCTTTCTGTTCTGTTACAGTCCACGTTATTCTTTCACTTTTCCTTGAAAAAAAATAGTATTGATAAAATGAGAAGGTTATTTTTTTCTAAAGAAAACAAAGACTTTAAAATAAAAACAAATTCTTTAAGTAACTATGCTTTCGCGAGGAAGAAGAAAAAAAATAATTGAAAAAAAATAAAATTCTTCACTTTATTTAATTGATTTACTATTGAATACAAAAGAAAATACCAACTTAATTCTTCACCAAGCAGTAATAATTAATATTTACTGTGACGTAAAACTGTGTAAAACAATTTCCTTTTATTATTTGATCTTTTCCTGGAATATATTTTCTCTGATAGTAACAATGAACACCTGTCCAGTTGTGAAGTGAAATTCAGTATTATTTTAAAAAGCTTAGAGAATCAATATACATACATTTTGATATTTGTCTGATTTTTTCTAAATGTAGTATACCTTAATAGGAATCAGTAGTGACTTATATAAATATTATTATTTGTTTGCTCAACATATAACCAAATATATGTTGATAATAAAAATTACAACCGTAGATTGCATATATTTATTAATAATAATCGTTTTTTATAAGACAATAACAAAATTATATTCGACTATCGATTATAATATCAGATAATCTACAATATTAACAACAAGAAAGTTATTGTAATGCAAGTGATTAGATAAATATCTATTTACTCGGAATAAAATACGACCATGCTATCGTCGAAAATAGTAACTATCATATGAAGCTCATCGTTGATGAAAATATTCATTTTCGATCCTTATTGAATTGTTCTACTTGTATCAGTTTAACTGGGACATACATACAGAATCGACTTGCCCGACTTTTCATCAATACTGATGAATTTATTAGCACACTACGATGTAGGACTCTAACCAGGATCAAAATGAACGTACTGCTTATTCCATATTTCCGTCCTCTTTCAAAATCATGAATCTTCTTTAGAATCAGGACATTCAAAAAGGATTTGATAATACTAGTGTTGTATGTCATTATGTTCTGAAACTACTTTCGAAATACTATTCATCTCTTCTGTAAGCAATAGCAACATCTTCTAATTTTATTCATTTTTGTCTTTTACTTTCCATTAAAGGTTGAAAACTGTTCTAATACATTTCATCGCTGCAACTTCTGCATTTATTTAGATAAAAATCACAAATTTATTTTAATGAGAAAAACTAAGGATATTAGGATGATCAAAATGCCACGCCTATTATAAATCTAGTTCGCTCTGTATCCATAAGCTAAATGAAATGTTGTTACATAAAACAAGCAACTTACAACTCAATACCATTGACTTTAAAGTCATAAAAGCTTCAATTTATCCTTACAAATTTGTTCATCGAATAATATCTTGTATTATTTTATCAGATAATCATTCATATTTTAATTCACTGTTGCTTGTAGAATGAAAAATGATGCCTTTGCAATAGAATCAGTATTCCATAGTAGTACACTTTCAAAGATATTATTGTCTGTTCGATTTGTTCTTTTTTGCAAATTTTTTATTTCATGTTATCTATATGAATCTCACTTCTCTTTTATATTTTGCAAATAATATATTTATTGAAATTGTAACTTTAATGTTATTTATATTATGAAAATACATAATTAAACTATTCATATGCAATCTTCTCGTTGATCTCTAAAATTTTTACTACAATTATCATTTTATCACGTACATAATCATCACTCCGCCTCTCACTTCATAAACTTCTTGAAAATGCACTTTAATTGATCCAAAAATAAACATGCATGTTTAAGAGTAACTTTTGTTTGGTTTATTGATACTATAATCACAACAAGTACTTCTTTTTTAAGCCTTGACATCTTGTCAATTAACTCATATTATGATAATATTTTTCCAACTTATATTTATAACTTTTTTTGTAACTATATAATTCATTTAGTAGCATTCAAATCGATTTGTGGCACAAAGATAAACACGGATTATTCAATTTCAACCGTCTTCAAATTATGTGCCATTGACCGAAACTGAACTAATGAATATTAAATTAAACATTAATTTCAATAAAAAAATAAATATATATATTTATCGTCGAAAAATTGTTTCTCGATGCATGACACGGTAGTGCACGGCAAACATAAACATTAGTAGCCGTGAATTAATGTGCCATAAGTCAAAGAAACAAGAATATAGATAAAGAAGAAACTTACCTGTGTTGAAGAGTTGCGAGTTGGTTCAGATTATAATATCTGAATATGGTTTCCTTTGCTTAGAATCATATCTATTTATACTGTCAATTGTTTACAATGCGTAACTTTAATTGACCAATGTAAAAAAAGAAGGAGAGAAAAAGAAAAAGAAAAATCGTCGTTATTCTCTCTCTCTCCCTTTCTTTCTCTTTGGGAAGGAAAAAAGTATCATCATTTCACACTTATCCAATTGGTAAAGAAAAGAGTGACCAATTGGTTAAAGATGACAAATAGATTAATTGGATAGATCCACATGACGCAATAAGCAGCTTGTACAAATTCGATCGGAACAAATTGGTTATTGAAACAAATACAGTTCTCACTTATATGAAAGTTGTTTCTATTTTTTGAAGATTGTTTCACACAATAACACTAAACTATCGTATTATCACATATAGTTTTTAAATTTATTAATTTTTAAAACCGATAATATAAACATAAGTGATAAAATGACGATATTCAAAACCTGCAGTTTATTTGAGAGATCAGCAAGACTTCAAACTTAACTTTAAGAGGATGCATAGAAAAATCATAAAGCGATAAAACCACATGCCGAAGATCGATTTTTAAAACTGATATAATCTTACTAAAATGGTCTTCATCTATACGTTAGTCTTGAAGATAAGCATATTTACTAACATGAAATCTAGAGTACAGAGTAAATTTTTATTATATATGATGTTGAAGAATCTCTTAGCATTAATGATCTGTAAGTGAACTAATCGAGAAAATGTTTTGACGTCAACCTAATGACGAATAAGATAAAAACTTGCAAATCCTATGTTTTTGGTCGACTATCCTAATGAAGTATATTTACGTTCTAAACGATCATTTAAAAACCTTGCAAATATTGACCATAATAGTTTTCTTGAAAATTTCAAGGAGTAGTTTCGTTTTGATATTGCCAGATCAAGAATTATCGTCCTATTTTGCTAATACTACCATCAAGATGAACAAGTGATGATAAATCTGCTTACTTTTATTTTTTTCAAATTTTCTACTAATGACAAATTTATTCAATATTTCGCCTAAATTTTTTTTAGGATAATTTTATTTATATAAACATAGATTATCTGATCTCTCTCACATCAATTTGAGTAGAAAATCTCTTGTATCTATTTCAAAATTCTTACATCATGTATTTCCTACTGATCGAACGGATATTATTCAATAACATAAACCAATTGTTGTTTAGATAAGCAATTTATTTTAACCTGCTGCTTCAAACTAATTCAATTACTTCAAGCCCATCGACGACATACACATGCGCGCACATATATGATACATCGTGTACTTGTCAGTTGAATGATAATATGAAACGATATGTTGGGAAAAGAAGAGAACATAATGTGTAATCTATCATCACCTATTCACATATATTTGCCAGTCACACAATTGGAAAAATACGTTATCTTTCAATTTTGACGTCTGAAGAATCAAAAGATCAGAAAATATATTGATATTGATCATTGATTGTACTTCTTAAAGATCTCATTTTTTTTTAAAGATGTTTCTCTCAACAAGCTGTTGTTCAATTTATGCGCGATGTGTGATCAATTAGAAGCATCATCGGTGTATCTAAACAGTGACAACGAATAAACTAGTCATCATCTAACATAAAAATAATATCGTTCGTCTTTTTTTTTCTATCATAAATGCCATTGAACAAGCTGTTACTCTTAGACAATTGTCATCGGTATACTTGTTGACAAACAGACGGCATTCGTTATGAATCTTTTTTTTTAATTTGAAACAGCTCGTAGCGGCTTCACTTTGTAACACCTTATGTTTTCATGAAAAATACAATATTTATTGAATTTTATAGTGTCTATTGGCTTATTCGAAGATAATCGATCAAGATAGTTCATGTATGTTATAAGATTGTTTATACAAATAATAATACTATGGTCACTTAAATCGTCTTATAGATTTAGTTGTAAATAGTACAAGGTTGGAAAAAATATTTTGATATGGAGGTACCGCTATATTCTGAAATAGAGTTAATAATGAATTTTATATCAAATGAAAGCCCATAAAAAATGAGGGTTATTGGTACTAAATAATAAGAGCTGCTGAAACTGTCGAAGTTTGTGAAATTCTGCATAATATAATCGTTCTAACTCATTTTTAGTGGTTTATAAGACGAAGAAAAAAGCAGATCGTTTTTGAAAAAAAATCGAAAAGAGTACTGTTCTAGTGATCATAAGGTGCAACAAAGAATTTTGAGTTACATTTAAGTCGAACTTTATCTTCTCAATAACTTTTCTCACACTTATGATCAATGGAATTTACTAAGTTTAAACATCTCAACATTCAAAAGTTTCTACAATCCTTATTGTTTAGTACCAATAAACCTCATTTTTTACGGGCTTTCATTTGGTATAAAATTCATTATTAATCATATTTGAAAGTATCGCAGTACCCCCGTATTAAAATATTTTTTCTAGCCGAGTATATTTCCTCTATCGTTTCATTTTTAACTAAATATTTAGTTCTTATTGCTGTTCGAAGTT